CACACACACACACACACACACACTTAGCGTCTGTTGCGTCATCCACACAACCAGTCACTTGGGTAAGGGTTACCTTTTTTTGACATTTTCCTGCTGTACTCTCACATGGGCTCACTCTGACATATTACAAAGGTGTGGGCAGAAAAAGTTCTGGAAAATATCCGGAGCAACTGAAATTTTCACAATAATATCCATTGATTAGTGAATCTCTGAAAGCAGCTAATCATTATTTTTTTTTAAACTAAATATAAGATTTGTAAGTGAGTCTTACCGTTCTCTTTCCGTAGGCGGGAGATGAACTTCTTGGGTGGGATGACGCCCACTTTCTTCTTCTGTGTGGCAATGGAGTGGAAGAGGTCGGCCAGACATGTGAGCAGGTTCTCCTTCTTTTTCTGCTGGGCTTTGTAGGCCAGCACGTTCTCCCGGAAAGGCCGGCAGAAGTAGAGAGCCTGGAGCACCGAGTTACAGTAACATGTGTTTCCGAACTGGAGGAGGGAAGAGAGCAGAAGGATACGAGGAGGACAGAGAGAAGGTTTCAGTCCATAAGTCAGTGCAGCTGGGGGAAAAATACCAATGCGCTCTTTTGTTTTTATCATTGACTGTGTTTAAAGATGGATGACTTGTCTCCATCGAGTCATACAGTCGACCAATCATGAGTCTGTCTCAGCTGTCAATCATGATGTTTCACCTCATTTTTATGGCATTAAATAACTAATTCAAACTAAAGGTACCGAAAAAAGTGTGATAACAGCTACCTAACATGACAGATACCATCTCTGAGAAAATATTATTTGACGTGTACTTTAACTTAACTTTGACCCTTCCTGTTCCTGTTCACTATCATGAGGGAGGTGGGGTTTATGACCTACAGTATACTGCAGCCAGCCAACTGGTGGCTTCACTTTTAGGAAGCTGTGATGTCATCCATCTTTATATATAGTCAATAGTACTTTTTCATTTGGTGGACGCTGCATCTGTTGTGTTCATGTCAATGTCACATTGAATAAACACAACATGCTTTTGATTGGCCAACAGACTCACGAACAACACTGTTACCACATGGTAACAGATCATGTAATAAATCGTCCAGTAAACACCATGACTCACTGCAGTACTGTGGCAGTTTGTTTTGAATAATGACACCAGTGTTTAGTCATTGACCTTTGTTCATGTATGAGAGGATTTAGCAATACTCACATTGACCAATCCAAAGTAGTGTTCATTGATTGGAAATTGCTCCGGGCCGATGTCTTTCTCCAGAGCAGAGGCATTGGTGCCCTGAAAGGACAAAACAGGAAAACAAGGGATTGTGCATTAGGTTGTTGTCCTGTCCATCGTCTCATGTGACACAGTTTACATATTAGTGTTTATGGAGAGTCACGAGGCTTAAACCAAAACATAATTTGTTAGTCTGTGAGCAGCCAAATTAATATGGAAATATTGTGTTTCCAGCAAACGACAGGCTGCTGAAGCTTCAGAGTCCCAGCGATGTTTTCTTGAGATACAAGATATAAAATCTTCTAGCGACTTCCTCATAAACATCTCTTGAAATAATTTGACATAGCCTGTTTTTCCATAAATGTGACAGACCAAAAAAGTTATGTCTTACAGTTTGTACCGGCTCTGTCAGTGATTTACTGCACCTCTCTGTGTCTCTATCATTTACGCTGCGCGCTGCCAACCAAATCAAGCGTGCTCGCCAACTTCTCCAGCTCCATACATTGTCTAAGTTGACAAATTCTGTTGTTTATACCCAGTCTAAGTTTACATCCTATTACACTGTGTGTGTTTGTGTGTGTGTGTGTGTGTCAGTGAGAGAGAAAGAAGTGAGCAGCAGGGTCTGGGTGTGTGTGGGCTGTTGCCTTTCCCTCAAGCCCTGGGACTATCATACAGAAGCTACACAATTCTTTTACAGTGATCAGCTGCTCTTAGTGATCAATTTGCCCGGGACAAACGTGATCGCTATCGGTGGTTTCTACTGTAATAGAATTTTGTCTGACGGAGGCTGCCTCTATGCAGTATTAACACAGGTCAAGAGAACAGACATGTTAAGAACAGAGCACTAGTATATTAAAAATATTCACCACAAAATATCAGGATAATTCAAAGTCCCCCATTTGAGAACCACTGTACTAGATTGACCCAAAAAGTCTCTTTCTTAAAAAGCATAATTGATAAAAAAAAAAAAAGATCCTTCGTCTAGAGTGTACAACATCCTGCTCATTTTCATTCCTTTGCTTTCCTGGAAAGAAAACTTCCTGTCAAAACAGAAAATGGATATGGTCTAAATAGGCCGACCCGTGTCAAAAGTCAGGAGTATTTAGCATCTGACTGCTGGGACAGAGCACTTATCTGTTGTCAGGTCCTTTTCACATCAGACCTCAAAGCTTTCTCCAAATGAACCTCAGCTTTGTCGAGCTAACACAGAGGACAATTTAATCTGGGGGAAGGCTTTGACTTTCAATGACCATCATTTCTCTCTGTCAAACCAGACCGTGAATAATACCTCTTTGTCCGATTTCTGCTTCCAGACTAAGATGCTGCAGTGTGTACGCAGGCACAAGTTCATGCACTGAACACATTGAGCCTTCAGTTCACAGACTCTGGACAGAAAAGGTTTGCCAGCTGTGGACGCAACATCGACCGACACCTGAAGCCACATTTCAGCCCCATAGCTGGAGCCCTAATTAGAAAAATAGTCAAACTAATGCTCTGACTATAATCCCCCAGCTTTACAGAGGACAGAGAGGTGTACTATACAATGACACACTGAATGTCAAAAAGCCATACTGCCTATATTAACAACTTAGTGATTTTGTCTTTTAAGGTAGGGCCATTCACTAGAAGGTTGCTGGTTTGATCCCCACTTTCTCCTGTCGGCATGCACGGACAAGACACCGGACCCCAAAACTGACAGCGGTCCTGTCAGTGTGTGAATGATGTGTGATAGAGGAAGTGCTCTGTACAAAAGTGTGAATGGGTGATTCTGACTTGTAGTGTCAAGTGTTTTGAGTGGTTGACAAGAAAAGCCCTGTATGAATGTAACACACCTGACCTGGTCTGAACCAAGGTTCATGTTCTTTACATTTGATCCAGTTCGTTTTGCTTTCACTGTGAAATTTAGGTTCTTTTGAATGAAATATGTACGTCCTGTCATCATCACCTGTGTGGTCTGTTGTATGCACTACCTTTGATGAATGAAGTGCATGGTCAAATCTCTATCTGTTTGAATGGAGAAATGAATGAATGGTCCTCGTCGTCAATATGGTTTTACTACCAACAAAGTGAACGTCCTCATTGTTGACTACAAGCAAATCTGTGACACGCTTCAGCTTCCTTTTCTTCTTCGATAGTCTGAACAATTCAAGAACATGTTTTCACCCTGCAAACGGTTCAGTTTGATCTGGACTGAGACCACCTCTTTTGGTCGGACTACATTATGGTCCGTTTGTCCGAGCCACCTTTCACACCTATTTTGGTTTGGACTAAACTGAAAAGTTGAAGGTCTGGAGCAAACAAGGTAGCTATAAAAGTGCCCTAACTTTAACTAGCACTAGTGTTCAGTGCACTTCCTCACCTGATCTCCTGCACTTTGTCTCATTGAACCGATTTAGCATTTACTTCAAGCTCTCCCACTGTACTTAAGATTTAATGTTGTCTCTGTGTCGCTGAATAACAACATGCACCAAAGGCGTAAACGTACAACATAATAACATCCGATGTCCACCTGAGGTGAGATCATTCAGAGCTTGTGTGTGTCTGTGTGTGTGTGTTAATGCGCTCAGGACACTGACAGAGGCTGCAGGCTCTTGACAACAGTATCCTTCTAAATAAAGAGAAGGCCTGCAGGGGCATTAAGCAGAGCCACATAAGACTGTTCTTAGTGAGCACAACGTAAACACAGATTAGTGCAGATCCCTGCTCTCTATGACCAGGATGTGATGTGACCAGTGATCTGCAGCAGCAGCGTGCACTACCTGTCAATCATCGCTGACAGCTACACTGAAGGCACATGGTCTCTGCAGGTTGCAACACACAGATTCAACACCACTGAGACTAGAAAAGGTCTGAAGCTCATTCGTGTCAAGGTTTGGGCTGCAGGCCTGTGTGTGAGATGCTGCAGGGGGAGGAAGAAGAGGAGGAGGAAGCTGAACATGCACCCTGCAGGAAGAGGTGGTGGAGGCAGAGGATAAAGAAGAGGGACATAGGAAGAGGAGGAAGAAGAAGAGGGAGCTTAAGCATAAACCCAGCAGAGGGAAGAGGCCGACGAGAGAGAGGAGGTAGCTGGAGCATGCACCCTGCAGGAGGAAGAGGAGGAGGAAGCTGGGGCATACATCGTGCAGGAGGAGGAAGAAGGAGAGGAGGATGAGGCTGAAGGGGAAAAGGAAGAAATAGGAGGGAGGAAGAGGAGGAAGCTGGAGCATGCACCTTGCAGGAGGAGGAAGATGAGAATGAAAAGGAATAGCAGGAGGAAGATGAGGAGGAGGCGGAGGAATGGGAGAAGGAAGCTGGAGCATGCACCCTGTAAGAGGAGGAGGGTCACCAATGGACATCAAGTTCAACACAGGCTGCAGGCACTTCAAACACACACACGCACGCGCACACACACACTCCCACACACAGTATGTTACTCACCATATTACAAATGGAGGCGATGTTTCTGACAGTCATTTAGTTCACAGTGTCCCCCTCACCACCATCTTCATAAAACAAACATGATGTGGCAGCGAGGCGACGCGGAGAAATGAAGCAGGTTTGCAGCCGCGGCTGGAGGCCAGACTGCAGCCTCCAGCGTCAGGGAGCAGGCGGAGGGACACGGAGCAGCATGCAGCCAGCGAGGAACCGAGCGGCGGACAACACTCAGCGTCGAGCCGGCCTCATCCTCACACACGGCCCGGGAACTCTGCAGCTACAGACCGCCGATGCATGAGAGAACCGTGACAAGTTCCAGGCAGCAGGTTGTTAGCAACGACCGGGAGACAAGCGTGATGTGCGGGGGGAGAGCACCGGTCCCGCCCATCCCGGGGGGAAACTCCAGGGCTGATTGGTTCACGCTGTTATCATCTGATTGACAGGGAGGCAGGACCATACGCAGACGTGCACGGCAAAGCTCAGTTGAGCTGCAACCAATCTTCAGCGACTCAACGAAACGGTGGCTTCTGGGAAATGTAGTTGATCATTGATTATGAAAACTGATCCAAATAATAACTTCTCTGCTCATTGATCAACCACTTGTTTTCAGCAAAAATGCATAAACAAACAAGAAGTACACTTACTAATTGATTAATAAGAAAACAAGGAATCCAGTTGAATTAAAGAGCCACTCAGTCAATTTCACGTTCATCCTCACACACACTAGTTATTAGTATCTGCCCTCCCATGAATCTGTAGTTCTGAAGACTAATTGTGTCGAGCACATAATTTCTGACATGTACTGAACTACAGATATTCTTCTGACATGATCTGGAGCGGCTCTGTGTGAGAACATTAATGTCTGAGTCAGTTGCTTTGGACAATCTTGTGAAATGTCTCCAGAATCTCTAAGCCTGTGCCCCTGTGAGAAGATATTGTCCTGCATGTTGAAGACGTTTCTAAAGAGCAACGGACCCAAAACTTGAAATAGAATGAACACAAATATCTCAGAATGAATATGTGGTGACACACAAGTAGAGGATGCAAAAGAAGATGTCAAGGAGATCTTCTGGTGACAGGAACTGATGTCAGTGTTGACATCCTGTAAAGAAAACCATATGATTTTGGCAGTAGAATTTACATGTAATGCTCCGCTTCCTGCTGCTCGACCCAGGATCACCCCTCATGCTCCGGACATTTTCCTATTGTTGTGAATGCATCTGTCCTGGATAATCTTCTGCTGCGTTCTTCATATGTGACTCTAGAAAGTGTCCAGACCCGATTGTCCAGATGTGTTTTCATGTCTGAAAGCAGTTTAGTTTGCTGCAACTGGACTACTGTGTTCTGACACATTACTCTGATGATGTCATCAGGGTTCATGTTTCTGTTGAAGACAGTGGAGTGGCTCTTTAATGCTTAGACACAAGGCTTTACAATCAGTGTTGGGGTTTGTTGTCATCCTTAACATTTTGTCTACTAAGTAACTAATCCTTTAATTTGCAGGTATTCTGGACCCTAACCATCTATTATGTGACTGTAATGAAGAGGCAGGACATTAAAGAAGGTAAGTGTCCTGTCTGCAGAGCTCTGCAGGACGCCAGCGCCCTCAGGACACTCCCCATTCACCTCCGGCTTTGATGGCGCTTTCACAACAACCGACAGCCCCACAATTATCTCCTTAGCATGTGAACAAAAAGAAAGGAAAACAACAAATAATTAAGATGAACACACTTCAAAAGGAATGGGAAAGGAGAGAGGAATGAAAAGTATTTCGAGAAAAACAAATAAGAGAATGACAGGGTGCGGATGGAAGAGGTTCGGAATGCACCCAGGGTTAATAGGACATTTGTTGGTTTATGAATACTTTTGATACTTTTGATTGACATGTGCGGTGGCTCTAGATACAAAACATCCCCAGACTGACTTTCTATTTCAGTTCCCGTCAGTATTAATAAAACAGAGAAACTGCCCCTTTTCCTGATTTTATCATCACCACTACAGCTCTACATGCTTTCTCATGGAAACATACAACTACATCTCAAAACATTCATTGACATCCTGAAACCAAAATAGGCCTGAAAACAACTCCAGGCCTGATGTTCAATTCCCAGCCTTGTTTATGAGATCACATCTCCTGTCGACACTTCGCATGAACAGTCTGTGTTTATACAGAGTTTTAATCTCTTTGTGTTTTCCTCCTCAGGTTTGCACAGAGCTGACAGCACCTCTGTATCCACAACATGTTTTTTTCCAGCCAGTAGGTGAACCTCAGAGGACCCTGTCCGCTCGCCTCAGTGGAGATCAGATGTGAGGCTGAATGTTTGGACTTTCATGTGGGTGCACACACACACACACACACACACA